GCCGAATTTGCCAAGAAAAAAACATCTGATGGAACAACTCCATTAGTCGATGGCCGTGACTATACTATGAAATTAATTGAAAAAAAGTTGACACCACCTTTAACTGATCATGATATTAGTATCATTCATCAGTGGGCAAAAAAAATTGCTCAAGAGTCAATAAAACTGCATGAAAATCCTATGGGAATTGGATATGTAGTTGATCGAAGTTTAGGAACAGATAAACATGTTTTTAGTATTTTAGGACCTCATTTAGGACATTATTATGGTGATATTACTATTGTCTGCAAAAAGGAAATAATGTTTCATCTCGATGCCAATTTTTCCATTCAAGCTGGAACTAGTTTTGGTCCTAGCGGAAATGCTTACAAACGTTCATAATTCGAAATTGCATTGTTCTATTCCTCGTTATCAATATGCCGCAGCTACAGAATTAATGGCTTTAACTGGTAAAAATAAACAATCAATGGATGTTACTCTTACGGATATTGTTGATCGATGAATGAATGTAGACTCACATGAAATATTTGAAGAACAGTTACCACAACTTATTCCATTAGATTATATCGAATATGTGTTTATGTCCAAAAATCTATTTCAATCATTGACTCCGGAAGCTCAACAATCAGCCAAAGGAGCTTTTAAAGACTCCCTCTTAATTTAATTAAACCAGGCAGTATGATGCCGTTAGATGCAACTCGTCAACCTTATCAAAAGTTTGTACTTGATAAAATATTTAAAAAAATTGAACAAAGACTTAATGAGCCACAGATCACACATGGCATTGTCGTTACAATTCCAGCCTCAAAGTTCGAAGCGCTAATTGTTTTACCAATAACTATTTCTCAATCAAATACATTATATCGTCTTGTTAAAGCTCAAACATCAAAGAATCCTGAATTGACTTATATTTATTGGCAAGCTATGAATGGTGATATGATGTTAGCAATATTCAATGAAGAGATAAGTCCAGACAAAGATCAATCTAATCTTCAATGTCTCATATGTTATGTTGCTGCAAAACCATCGACAGTTACAGAAGATTATCATCAAGTCTATTCATATTTACATGATGGTAGTCCATATCAACATGAAACTAATGTTCATACAAATCAA